CACCAGTGGGTGTGGTTACTCAGGATTGGCTTTAAACAATTTAAGCAAAGACACTTACTAAATGTCTACTCTTTGATAGCTCTATCATCATAGCCACTTCATCCAGGCAAATTACCCAGAGAGGTTCGAGGACATCAGGGCAGAAGGAAATTGAAACTCCTCTAAAAGATGAAACCAAGTTGCATAAATGTGAAACATTTGACCCTGTTTAGGATAGAGGTTTCATTGGGGTGTGCACCCAAATTCTTTCACCTGGAAAGAAAGGGCAAGGAGAGCCTTTTCCTCATCTACTCAGTCTGATAGATAACATTTGTCAGGCTAATTTTTGCTCAATACCTCTGTACAGGATTATTCTAGAAATGTTATTAAAATATTCTATGTTGAAAACGCCTTAAGGAATTGTGCCTTAAGCTGAATTCAAAAGGTTTTCTCCAGCACAAGATTTCTCAGGTTCTTCACTGTGGTATATTATGAATTTCTAAAGAGGGATTAGATATTGTATATACCATCCACAATGCACAGTTTTGTCAAGGGTTTTCAGATTTCATATTTGATGTCATTAAAATTTTTATAAATGCGAATTAATTACAGTACTAAAAAGACTTCTGAGAGAAGAAAAATGACAAAAAATCTGTCATTTATGAATATTAATTGACAAGGGAATCAGAATATCATAGAGTAAAATGACAGAGCGAGGAGATTTATTCACTATTTTCTTTTTTTTCTCACTATAATCCTTATATACGATCTTTAAAGACCATGAGGTAAGGAAGGCATGGAGCCTTTCAGAAGCAAGCTTCTTAGTTTGTGGAACTTTTCATATTCTCCAAACAATGATGCATTCAAAAATACTTCTGCAGCTTCAAGGCTGAAAGAAAAGAAAAAGTATATTGATAGAAATTGGTGTAGGGGGCCGGGGATTTAGCTCAGTGGTTCAGTGGCCTGCCTTGCAAGTGCAAGGACCCAAGTTCAACCCCGGTAAAAAAAAAAAAAAAAAAAAAAAGAAAGAAAGAAATTGGTGTAGGTAAACATAGAGGGTTTGGGTCTGAGTATGCAAAAATAAACATCAGCAACCACTCTTGGAGGTACACTGATAAAAGAGAAAATGTGCTTAACAAAAATAACAGGTAATTCTCATAGCAATAAGATGACTTGTAATAGGAAGAGATTAAACCATTTTCATTCCAGACATAGAATTGTACATGAAAACTGTATAATAAAGAAATAAATATGACAAGAGAGAATGAATTAAATGGTTTAAAGGAGACATGTTTTAGTGGGTTTTATACACGGGTAGGAGCATCGAACTGACTCAGATATAGAGGACAGTGTGTGTGTGTGTGTGTGTGTGTGTGTGTGTGTGTGTGTCTTAGTATAATCTGCTGACAAACAAAAAGAAATTTGGAAGTGATTCGCCTTTTATGAACATTAATAATAAAAATCTTGGTTAATATTATCGAATGCTTCTTAAAGCTCAGAAGATGTTTTTGTAGATAAGCAATTCTAATTTATCAGTAGGTACTACTCCTTTATTATTGGACAATTTTATGAGAGTGTAATATACATATTTAAGCATTTACCCATTTTAAAAGTTCCATTCATTGATTTTTAGGAATTCACTGTGCTGTGCATTGCCAAAATCTAGTGTTTAGAACATTTCCTTCACCTTGATCAGATCCCTTATACTCTGATGGACAGCTTTTATTTTTACCCCCCCAACTCCCAGACAAGTAATAGTGTGCTTTTGTTCTTCTATGTTTTTCTCAGGTAACATTTTCCCCTGTTTTTGTATCCAAATAATTTTATTTTATATTTTTCCTCATTCTAAGTAAAATTTTTCCAATTAGTATGCAATGTAATAACTAGAATACCTTTGGAAATCACCAGAAATCAATGAACAAACCAAGAAAAACCAAACAGGTAGCTGATTTTTAAAACATAATCATATCATGGACTCTATTTCTCAGAATAGGTTAGTATTTTCCATGAGTAACAAAAAAAGGATAAATTTCTGAGGTGAGGGATAACTGAGTTTATTGATATAGAGTGCATTAAGGTGCTAAAAGTTCCCAATGCACCCCATAAAGATGAACGATCATTAGCTATCAATGAAAAACAAGTGATCAAGCAAATAATAAAAAAACCAAGAAATTTGGGATTATGTATGGACCAATACAGAAAGAAAAATACCATAAAACATGTAGTCGGTCTGGAAGAATATGGTACCCAGAACACAATAAAAGATGTTTCTCTATGAGCAGAATCTTCAGTCCTTTTATTTCACATGACCTTTTATTTCACAGTTGCTCTGCCTAGGTGAGCTTACAGAAAAGTGTATTTGTCAGTCTGGAGGGAAAACCGTGATGGGTGATTGTATTTCAGAGACAGCCAGAGGGCTGAGCTTGGGATACGGATTTGGCATACAGTTTGCAAAGGGGGCAGAAATTGACCACATGGAAATCAGTGCTCAGAGAAATGACATCTGGAAGGCAAACTTTCCAGGCTGCTGGCTGCTGAAAATGTCAAACTGTTTGAAAAACAAACGCTGTGACAAAACAGATATATGGGATGAAGTCTTCAAGATCCCGCAGAATAGCACATACTGGTTGCCACAATGAACCTACTCCCGACCCTCAAATACCAACTTAATAAGCCAAAGAAGGAAAGGGAGCTGTGGGGCCCAAGGACAAAAGTTAAAAAAAAAAAAAAAAAAAAACAATCCAGCTGCCTGTATTTGCTCCCTGCTGTTTCATTCACGCAATCCTAATTGAATATTTTCTGTCAGACTCAATCTTTTCTCAAATGACTCAGCCTCCTCGATCTGGTTAAGGGTACATTCCTAAACTCTGAAAATATAGTCTAAATATTTGATATATATTGAAGATTTGTTCTCATGAATACTATACAGCATCCAGACAAAAGTGAAGAAATACGTTCAAAATTATGCTGAAGATTGGAATGATCCTTCAGCGAACTGATAACCAAACCTGTAAGCTAGCAAATGGACAGTAAGTTGGTCATTTAAAATAAAAGGACAGTTGGCAAAAAATGAGGTGGTAAATCTGGGAATTTTAAAATATAGGGTGACTATATAAAGTACAAAAGTGAACTTATTCTCTCAGAAGATATTTGCGGTTCACTGGTAAGCTGCTCAGAGTTTCTATTGTGGTTTCTTTATTCTTTCTCATCCTTAAAATATTCGATGTGTATAAAATGTCTACCTGGCTCTTATCTGGCAAATTACCCCTTCCATCCCCGCAAATTTCCTTCACTGCTCAACCAGACGCCTGTGTTATTGTTCTGTTACCTTCCGCTGGGCTTTAACACGTTCGTGTTTTCATATTTTCCTACTTTTACTTAGGCTTTATATAAATAACAGATCAAGAGAAGTATAATTATTAAAAACATTGGCACAAAATGTCATTTGTAATCAGCAACTTGATTTTCCAATTTTTTTTTTTTTTGGTACTAGGGATCAAACTCAGGATGTCGCGCTAGCAAGGCCAGGAAAATGGCACTGAGATAAATCCCCGGCCCTTTCCAATTTTTTTTTTTTTTATTCAAGTAGGGAAGATAAAGTAATGTAGACATAAGAATTTAAGTGGTACCATTCTACATTGCTTTTGACAAACCTCCTGGTGGTCAGGATGGTTAATGGGAATATCAAAAACATGGCTTTGGAGCTATAGATAATGGGAACAATTATGCCAAAAATTAATAATTCCTTTTTCTAAAGCAATTGCTTTAATTTCATTTCTTTTCTTTTTAAACTGTGTGCTTTTAAAGTACATAGATAAGCCATGATTGTAAGAGAGGGGGGAAAAAGTGAAAGTATGGATAAATACATAAAAATAAAATTCACCCATAATCCCATCTCCCAGGATAAAACAAATCACTACTTCTATCTAGCTTACATCCTATTAGAAACAGATGTACAGGTACACACAGCCACAGCCACATACACACACAAACACACAGCAACACAGCCACTCCTGCTGAATAACAAGCTTGAAGCAATAATGATGTTTCTAACTTACTCTTCTGTGAGTCAGAGACTTGGACTGGACTCACCTGAGTGAGTCCTCCGGAGCCACTAAGTCAGGGGGTTTGGTTTCTGGGAGTTGTACAAGGGTTGTCCGGCAGGCTTGTTCATCTTCATTCTCCCGGTGACTGTGGCAGGGTTCCCAGGAGAAGTCAAAAGTCCTGTTCCAATCCACAAACTCTTTCCGAGCCTCGAAGTGTGTTCATTATGGCAATGACCCATTGGCAAAGCAATTCACATGGCAAACCCAGATTCCAAGAACAGAGAAAGAGAATCCACTGTGTGGTACTAGGATCCGTGTTGGGAGAATTTGTGACCACTTTTGTGATTATTCATAATCTTAACACTTAAGGGGATATCACTGGCATTTGTGTTTTTATTTTTCAAAAATACACAGTGTTGTGCTTAATTAAAATGTTATATTCCCATATCGATGTATATCAATTGATTTCATTAATACATCTGCAGAATGTTTTCTCTTTAACTGTAGCATAATTTATTCAACTCTAGGACTTTGCTAACTTTTCCCGATCAGGGTGTCATGAACATTTTTGTGCATTCATATTTTCAGCTCTCGGTGATGATTTTTTTTTTACTTACTGATGACTCAACCAGCTTATCCTTAGAATTGCAGACTTTGTTCATTGAAAGGTGAAGAAAAAAGACAGGAAAGAACAAAAACGAAGACAAGAGTAAAACTTTGTCTTATCACATCTTGTCCCCATTAGTAAAAGAAGAGTAAAGGGGAACAAAAGAGAATTATAAAAATTGTCATGGAAACTCACTTGTTTACAAAGAGTGGTCTCTAAATATCTTCATAGTGTATCTACTTTTGATGTATTTAATATTCTTTGACATTTTGTTCAGTAACATGTCAGCCTTCTTCTTCGCATTGTTCGCTCGGCTGCTTGCGAGTCTTCCCTGGCCTGGGTATTCAGGCTCTCCTGCCATTGCTTACCTTTGCCGGAGCACAAAAGCGATCATTTCACTGAGTTTGGTTTCACCGGCAGTGATAATCTTCCTGTCACAGCTCAGCTTCTCCAACCTGCTTTTGAGCCTCCTCCAGTTCACTAAGTACTTCCTTGACACCTTCTTCTGCTGCAAGAACAAGGGAAAATCCTTAGGACTTGATGTGCACCTGTACGCTGTGGGCACCCAACAAGCAAAACCAGAGAAGAGACAAAAAACACCTTATTATAGTCAAGCTGGACCAGGTCCAAGGAGATGTCTAAAATCTTTTGTCTGCAGAAAACCAAGCTCTTAGGGCTGATAATGGTTACTTGATGTCAAAGATATAGTGGGAAGTAAAATTCTTCACAAACAAACTGTAAATACCATAAAATCATATTATTTTCAACTTCCCTGCTTAGTGGCTTTGTTATACTGCTGTAATTACAACTGACATGCCTGCAAATGGAAGACAGGAATATTCTAAGCTTGTCATGTGTTTATGTATAACTTGGGAAGTTAAGGTCCCATAACTAAAAAAATAAATAAATTTTACTTATCCAGCATAATTAATTAGGGAAGTTTGGGAAACTAGGAAAGTAAAGTTTCAAAATATGCTTCATTTGGTTTATTATCTCTATAGCCTAACAGTTGCCTTGGCAGAAAATTTTTCATTCTTTTCACCTTGTGCTTTCTACTTTCTGTTGCTGTTGTTTTGGCTCCTGATCCCTAAACTGAGTATTTGGGCAGTAATTTTGACCATGATATGTGGCAAAAAAAAATGCTATATTGGAGGATAAATGTTAGCTTTTTAAAAACATCCCTGTATGAACATATTAAGGAAGGGAAACATAAAATCCATTTGTAAGGTAGTAGAGTTATAAAGTCATAGAATTCACAATGGTTCCTCTTGAACTTGTAGCTAGTGAGATGTAAATGATAAAATAATTCTACAATTTGTTGTAATTTCACATTGCAAATGAATACAACTATCAGAAAATGACACTACTTGAGTTTTCATTTACCAGTTACTCAAAACCTTATGCAGAATATTATGCAAAGTATCAAATTCTTTGGCTTGGTACCTAATTATTAGTGATTAGAATCTATGAGATCTAGTTTTCTTCCAGGAAACAAGGAATGTGTCCTTCTGGAGAGAAAGGCCAGTTTCATTTCAAGTATGACTACTGGTGTCCCCGGCAAGTCTGCTGACTGTAAAGAAAGTGTTTATTGATTCAACCTTTCCATAACCCTCTACTAAAGTAAACATGTCTGAAACAACTATGCAAAACATCAAATTTCACTCATCTACTTCTTTATTCAAAGAACTCGGCACGGGCCACCACTATAGCCGAGGTCCCCATAGAACCAAAGACTTGCATTTTATGTGATATGATAATCCTCACCTCAGTGTAACCATACATTTGGTTACTTTTTCTGTCATGAGCACTTACGTCCAGTGCCCTCTTGAATGTCTTCTCTCTAGTTAATTATTAATGGCTAAAATTTGAGTTTAGCCTCAGTCCTACGTAGCTTAGTGCAAGTCATTTTCATTTTGTTACAAGTTGATAGAAGCATCTCCTTTTAGGAGATGAAAGAATAAGTTTGCATATGGTGTTGCCTTGACCCTAGCCACACCTTCAGGTATAATCCAAAACAAGAATCTTAGACTTGTGATTAAAATCTGAACTGTCTTTTCTAAACACTGGGTTTTACCCAAAATGAAGCTAATCAAATATCCTCACATTCAATGTTATAACTTTTATCGTCTATCTATCATTATAAAGCAAAGACCAATATATACGAGAGATAACATTATACATGCTTTTGCATTCAAAGTTCATTTATTTATGTAGCTAATATCTATCGTATGCACAATTCATTTATTTATTTAGCAAGTATAGCTTTTCTACATGAGATGTCATACTAGGTCCTGGAAACAAAGATATATAAAACACACTCTCTATTACTCATAGTAATAGAAAAATTTAAAGAGAAAAATTTAAAGGTAGTATCATGGTGAGTTGACTAGAAAAGTTGCCAAGTGTTCTTTGGGAAAAGTATCATTATGACCATTTAAAATCACAAAATTTACATTTTATTTTAGTTACAAAGAGCAAAATTGGTGTTCTTTGCCTAGATCATTGGTTCTCAACTAAGGGCACTTTTGCTCACAAAGGGTCATTTAACCACGTCCAGAGACATCTGCCACTGTCACATCCTTGTGAGATGATAATGGGACAGTGTGAGACAGGCTTTGTCATCAACTGGGTAGAGGCCAGGGTTGTGATAACATCTCACAGTTTGAAGGACACCCCTACAACAACACAAGATGATCCAGCTCAAACCTCCCATGCCACCAAAGCTGAAAAATTCACCTTACCTGCACTAAAAACTTGAAAACATTCCTCTGTAAATAGCACATAAACAACTGTACTGCCCTTAGTACAATGATATGCTTTCTTATAATTTCTATAATTTTCCTGGGTCTTTGACAGTTTTCATTTTTTGCTTGTTGAAAATCTTTTACACACTTGTAAAGATTTTATTGTTATCAAGGTTATCTTTTTTCTATAAGAACAAATCCTTCTGGGGTGAAGATGTCAGGTAATACCAGAAAATCAGAGTCCATACAAATCAGAATAGTATCAGAAGTAAAAGAAAATACACCCTAGATATTAATGAAACATGTAGAGGAGAGTATATCTTTTACTTCTAACTTACAAATCTTCAAATAAAGACTCACATAAGTCCCATAGAGATATGGGTGGCAGCAGATCTTAGGTTGTGAGCCTTGGGGAGTGCAGAGTGCAGGTTGACAGAAGCCATCATTTCTGACTTGTTACAGATTAAAATAACCCAGCAATTGATTATTCAGGTTCTGTAGTATGAGAATCACAACCTTGAAAAGAGCAGGTTAGGAGTATCCATAACCCCAGAATCAACAAAAATAAGTCAACTACATTTAAACCTTCAACTTTTATTTACTATCATGAGAAAGACTGGGAGGGACGGGATCACGGTGCCTAAAATGTCCATGTGATTAAGGCTGCCACAATATCCAGTTAGCCGCCTTCTACTACCTAAACACTGCTTCTAGGTTTTACTTTCCAGCTTTGAAATTGTCTGGCTCCATCTGTAAATCAGATTCTATCTATTCAGTTTGTAAGCCCAAGAAGAACAAAAGCACCACAAATCCCATAAAGTAAAGGTAAATGTCCCATTAGTGTTAACCACTAGAGAAGGCCATATGTGATCTCTCTCCCTCTCTCTCCCTCTCTCTCTCTCTCTCTCTCTTTCTCTCTCTCTGGTCAACTGCAGAGAAACTCTCCAGAGTCCCATAGACAGAGTTATACTAACCACATTCACAAAACACACAAGCATGCACGCACACACACACACACACACACACACACACACACAATTTACTTACTTATTTATTTTTCCCACTGAAGCTCTTTCGGGTGAGAACCGTACTTCACTAATTACATCCCACACCCCATACCCCACACCGACATTTTCAAAGAAGACAGTTGAAATCTCACCATTGCCAGCATCTGCAGGAAACTGTCTTGAAAATCATGGAATGAGTAGCAAACTTCATCAGGGGTGGGGAGAGACGAAAATGCTTGTGTTGGAGACAAGGGCTTTAAACTGAGGGGGAATTAACTCAGCTTATAATAAATCACTGCTGACACCACCTCTGAAGACTTCATCCTCTCACAAGCCAAAGGGAATTTTTAGCTGGCCAAGGAGGAAACTCCACAAATGTTGGCTATTATTTGAATGTGTGACCTTCCTGTGAAAGTTGTGCGGGGTGTTCTCTGTGTGTCAGAACAAACTCCACAGAGAATAGCTCCCCCACTAACGTAAACAAAGATTGATTAATAACTTATTATCATATTTTACAATTGAGGCTTTGGAAAATGTGTAACAGCAGGAGGCCCTGTCTTCACCTCTCATGTTTTGAGCTTCTATACTGATATTTCACTGAAAAAAATTAAACCGAGTAAAATGTTTGAGAAGGGCGATCCTTCCTTTCATAGTCTGAAGAATATGGTTTTCCTCATACTTTTCAAGTTAGAATTAATAGTAAAATTGTGGTGAAAATGTGTAGATTTTACAGCATATAACTCTCTCCTATATTATACCATCTGCTTCTCACAAAATTTGTTAATAAAGAAAAACAATTTCAATAGCACCACTTTGAGTCCCAGGCACGTTAATCTGATGTGACGTGGCTCAAGGATATCCAGTAGGAGAAACTGAGTAAAGGGTTCTGTTGATCATGAGATCTATCATGGCAGATTCTTAGAGGAGGTGGTGCTCAAGACGTTCAGAGAAGAGTCACAGAAAATACAAGTGTTCAGAAGCTAAGCAGACAGAAACAGAAAATCAATCTGAAAGATGATTTTCTTTGACATCTACCAAATACCTGGGTCACCAAGAAACACCGAGTCCTGATAGCATCCTATCCTGGAAGCAATAGCACCCATCATTCCGAAATTAGTCAAGGATCAAACTACAAAAAAGACAACTACAAGCCAAAGTCTTTCGTTAACATAGATGCAAAAATCCTCAAGAAGATACTGGCAGACTGAATGCAAGACTTCATCAAAAAGATCATATATCACAGCCAGGTAGTTTTTTTTCTCAGGGATACAAGGATGGTTCAACATAAATAAATCAGTAAATATAATACATTACATAAATAGGATCAAGAAAAGAAACCACATGACCATATCAATAGATACTGAAAAGGGTTTTGACAAAATCCAGTGAGTCATGATAAAAACCCTGAAGAAAATAGGTGTAGAAGGATCGCACCTCAATCTGCTAAACCGTTTATGACAAACCATTGGCCCACATCATATAAAGTGGGGGGAGTATAAAGCTTTCTCTCTAAAATCAAGAACAAGTTAAAATATACAGTTACCACTCCTTTTCAATATATAACTTGGAACATTAGAGCAATAAGGCAAAAGAAAGAAATAAAAGGGATACATTAGGAAAAGAGAAAGTCAAATTATCATTATGTGCAGGTGACACAATCCTCTATACACAAGACCCCCAAAACTCCACCAAAAGACTCCTAGAATTAATAGTAAATGAAGCCATGTAGCAGGATACAAAATTATCAAGCAGTAATG